GATTCACGGTGGCACGCGCCCGAGACATCGTTTGATAAAAAGATTTTTACTCTGAATCCGGCCTCCAACTCCCAAAATGATAGGAACAATGCAGGATCACTTGCTGATGCTACCACCGAGGCAAGAATCCAGGAAAGAGCGAAACACCCCCAGTTCATTCTTGTTTGGGGAGGAGTCACCTCTACGGGGAAGACCCCACTTGTTTTCGTTGAAGCTGGTGTAAAAATCAACGCAGAGGTTTACAAAAATATCCTGGAGGAAGTTCTCAAGCCGTGGGCCAACTCCCATTTCGGAGAAGCCTACTGGTGCTTCCAGCAGGATTCTGCTCCAGCACACAAAGCAAAGATGGTCCAGGAGTGGTGCGCCGAGCACCTGCCCGACTTCATCAGACACGACGAATGGCCCTCCAGTTCTCCTGATCTAAACCCGATGGATTACTCTGTGTGGTCCATCTTGGAGAGCAAAGCGTGTTCTACCAGACATCCAAACTTGGACTCTCTTAAGGCGGCGCTTTCAAAATCTTGGGACGAAATCGATGACCAGTACCTGCGTGCCACATGCGAAGCATTTGTCGAACGTCTGAAGGACTGTGTGAAGGCTAAAGGAGATCATTTTGAGAAGCATTAACATTTTTTGTATTGTCATGTTTGTAGTAAATAATATTGATAATTAGAATTGATTTGTGAGAATTATTGTCAAAATGCCATTGAAAATTTAGTGCACCAGTAATTTTGCCCCACCCTGTATCTGTATCAATCCCTCAGTCGGAAACTCGGTTGCTAGCGTCACGCTCCCTACATGAAATCTAGAATCCTTCGAGTCCTATGCAAACGCTTCACAAAAGGACTTACAGATAGAAAATAAGAAAATAAATTCCACTGTACCGAGTCGTTTCTCTTTAGGGCATTAGGGATGATCAGTGGCTCTGAAAGGGGTTACATAGCATGGGGGCTCTGATAAAGCCGTCAGCTTACTTCTTTCAAAAAAACATCTTTCCTTGTTTTTATCACGCCGTGCAAATATAATATGTCTCCTGAGCTGGAAGATTAAAGAGGTGATGTCTAGTGTGTGTCTCAGAAGGATTGAATCAACGTCACGTTGATTTAATCCTACTGAGACACACACTAAACTTAAAAGCAGGGACCACGGGGAGGAGATCAGCGAAGCTCCTAAATCAATACTGCACCTTAGTCTGTAACCATAGAGGTAATACTACGTTCGTGAACAAGTGCGCAGTATAAGGCCCCCCGGGTCTAGTATTATTTAGGGTTATGGGCACATGACGTGAGCTACGACCACTCTAGCGGGAGGTGGTGCGTGTCTGGTATAAGGCATGAAATACTTGAACTTTTTTATGATCCTACCACGAATAGCGGTGATTGTAGAGGATTAGAGAACGGCGCCTGGCTCGGCTCCAAATCCCAAGAAGGAAGGTGAGAGCCCTAGGACTAAGCCTTGTAAGGGGGAGGGACTCCGAGGTGGGTGAGCCAACTACATTGTGGCAAAAGTTTGAATGTGTGAGATCACAGTGGTCATGAGCCGCTGATAAGGCGAGAGAGTGCAGCGTCCAGTGAGGCAGCTTAAAGGACCGAGTTCAAGTATTTCACATGAAATCAGCTGGATAGGGTACGCAGACTGCCGTAACGACTGCTGGCATGACCGAAGGACTCGTTCCGACACGCCTTCTTCCCAAGCCTGCCTACTTCGTTTCTGGTGGGGAGAACGGTTCAATTTTTGGCCT